AAGGCAAATTGAGGGATGTTCAACATTAATTAATAAAAAATAGAATTCTTTTTCAGTTAAATACCTAAATCCCTAACCCAAACTCATGCAACCGTCCGCTCCTTTTTTCTTGTTTGTGAACCATACCGTGTCCTAGCTCTTTGTGTCGCGCCTCTCTAGCCCGAGCGCTACTCTTCTACTCTTTGGTCGAGGTCCTCCCTTTCCCCCATGCTCTGGTAAAGCTTCCACCTACTCCTTGTCGCGCTCTGGCTTATCCCTTGCCATGCTCCCTGCGATTCTTGTCGCTTCTTCCCCATCTCGATTGCGCTCGGTTCACCACCCAGGTGAGTCGAAGATATGTAGCACCTCCCTCTTTTCCTATAAAACCCCCCTGGGGGGGGGGGGGGGGGGGGGGTCTTTAGGCTTGGGCAAAAATTCTAGAAAGGGTGGTGGTGCTGCAAAAATTTTCTCTGATCTCTTTGGTTTGATTTTTCTTTTTGCTTTGTTCATCTTGTGTGTTCTTGAGGTCTTCTTGAAAGTTTTATGTTATGTTTTGGAGAAGCTTGAACAAGTTTTAATAAGAGAGAGGTGTTTTCATTTTCTTTTCTGGATTCCCTGATCGCCTCATCTTTAGTGTGTTTGGTGTTATTTGGGTGATATTCTTTTTCTTGTTCTTCTCTTGAAAAAATCGAGTAAGGTATTCACTGTTCCCTTCCTCCCTTAACTATTCATTATCATTGGTTTTTTGCTCGGTTGCTTGCTCTAGCCTCAATGGTTCTCTGGAAAAAATAAAAAAGGAAAAGAAAAAAAGAGAGGGATGTTTGATGGAACTTGTAGCTTGCACTTAGCATGGCAGTTGGGAATCTTCCTTCTCTATTTGTTCCATACTTGAATGGTTTTCAAAGCATGCTTAGGATATTATTTTTGGAGCCTTTCTTGCTCCTTACTTGCTCTTCAACATGCTACTTTGTTGAAACTTATGTTTAAGTACATTGAAAATTCCATACTAGCATGCTTAGGATGTTATTTTTGGAGTCTTTCTTGCTCCTCACTTACTCTTCACCTCACTATTTTTTTTTTAAATGTTTGTTTGAGGCTATGCTTAGGTTTCATCTTTATCATGCTTAGGAGAAAATATTTAGAGTCTCTCTTTATTATTAGTTTCACTGATTTTGAAGAACACGTGTTTAAAATGCTTGTTGAATTTAGTTTTTTGATGGTTTGGAAAAGATTTTGGAGCTCTCCTTTGCCCTTCATGCAGATTTTGAAAGAGATGTTTAAGAGCTCCTCTTGATTCTTTTTGGATGGTTTTGAAAAGATAGAATGCATCTTTTTGTGCATGATTGGTAAATGTGAAGGAAAGTGCAATATATACTTGTTCATGTTGTAAGAAAAAAGGGGGTTCCTTTCTATTTTTGAGCTTGGACCTTCATGTGGATGCACTTGGGAAATCTAACTATGTTTTTTGTTGCTCGATATCGACTTGTTGGAGGCACGTAAATATTGCGTTTTATTGGTTTGGAGACATATTTATGGTACATTTGATTGACTATAAACATCGTTGTTACATTTATTGGAGTTTATGTGTGTATTTATGCTGAACTTTTGTCGATTTGGAGGGGACATATGCATGATTTTGGGGCAGATTTAAGCATCATTTTAAAGCTGTTTATTCTATGGTTTGGACGGGTTTAAATATTGTTTTTAGGTTGAATTAAGAACAGTTTTGAAAAGGTTTTGAGCACTATTTTGGGTCGTCTATATGCATGGCTTTGAGGCTTCTAAAAATGCATATGTTGGGCTAAATTTGCTGCATTTTGGTGCTTTTAAAAACACAACTTTTGGGTTGAGTTGGCTGCTGTTTGGAGCCTTTTAAAAATACTTTCATGGGCTAATTTGTGTTTATGAGGGGGTTTGTTGGTTGTTTTTAAGATGTTTTGGCACTAATCTGGGCTGCAGTTTTTACGTGTCTTAGTGATATGTTTGGGTTGAGTCTTGGGGCCCTCTTTAGTGATTTTGGGTTGCATCTTGTGGCTCTATTTAGTGATGTTGAGTTGCATTTTGAGGCTTTATTCATTAAGGTTTAACTTGCATCTAATACATTTTGGAAGTTCTACTTATCATTACTAAAGTCGGGGTCTATGGCTGAACTCGTTTTCAGTTGTTGGGTATATTTCTTTTGTTGGATTTATTTTTGCATTGTTGGGATTACATTTGTTGGGTTTCTTTTTTGTCAAGCATCACTCTTATATTATAATGTTGCGTTCAAAATGCTTTCAGATGATTGAATATTTACTTGAAGTCTAGCTTTAAGTTGTATCTTTGAGTTGTTTTAAAGGCAATTCGGATGTTTTGTGGACTGTTTTGATAATTGCTTGAGCACTTGTTTAAGAGAAGTTTGTTGGCATTTTGGCACTTGTTTTGGAAGATTTAGGGGAGGGCTTTTATACATCAATTTGGGCCTCCTTCATTGATTTGCTTTTGTTATATTTTTTCTTATCAATGGTTAAGTCAAAAATGAGAATTTCTGATTTAATTATTTGGAAAACACTTAAAAAAATATTTGAGGATTAGTTGGAAAACACTTACCTGAGAGTAAAACACCTTATATCACTTCAAGCACAAGTTAAAGTGTAGGCTTTCAAAATTTTATGAGCACACTCTAGGTGAGAGATCTTCTACATAATTTTCAAATGAATGATGAAACTAGGCATTTGACCTTAATTCATAAGCTAGTTAAAATGATAGACAAATGATAGACATAAGGATACACCACACCAAGATGTGGTTTATAACTTCTTTTTAATTAAATCAAGTAGTGAAATTCCCGCCATCACTTAACCTACAGTGAAACTCAATGCTCTGAGATTTGAGCTTAAGTCTTACACTCAAATTCTTCTGGCAATTGGAGACATTCCTAATGTCACATATAAGTCACATATTCCAGGTTCTTTATATGTGACATCGTGTTTTGTTTTACTCGTTTGTTTTTTTTTTATTTTCTTATACCTGATTTTCTAGCAATTTGTTTAAGTTTTGTGTAATTTGTTATTCTTTTTATTGCACTATTTACTTTAATGCACTTGCTAAACTCCTTGGGTAGACAACAGTAGGACATATGCTAGGAGACACACCAGACCTTTGAGACCCAACAATAATTATACTTGCAAATACAAAAGATAAACTAAACTTAGAGTCGCTACAGTTTGGAGCTTGGAGCAAGTCTTCGCGGGCAGCACGATGGAAGAACAACTTCAAAAGAGAAAACAGATCTACAACAGCATATCTTTTCCTAGTTTAAATACCAAGCCATAAGATTTCGAGATAGTTTGCCTAACGCGACATAAATCCTCACTTTATCTTTTAGGTCATTACACAGCTAGGTTGTGCAAACTAAGCCCTAACTTGCTTTAGGTTCTGAGGTTGTCATTCGATACGACGTAAAAGCTTCTATCTTCCAGGTCATTTGTATGACCGTGTCAAGCAAATATAAGCCCTAAATAATAAAAATTGGCAGAATGAAACATCAAATAACATCTTCTTGAAATTGAAGCCAAACAGTAGGATAATTTGGGAAGTCACCGAGGTTTCCCTTAAGATCCATGACATCCCCTACTTTTTTTCCTTTGATTTCAGAAATAAATGTTCCCGTTTGGTCCTTTTCCCACTTGAACTTTCTATGTCCAGCCTTGAAAACCGTAAACTTTGAATTCATGAAGATAGATATCTTTGATAATCATCAAGAGTTCTCTTAAGTGACTTCAGTCATTTGAGAGGTAATTAACTATAGGAAGTTTGCCTCTATAGAGAGTTTTAAGAGCCCAGTTAAAATAAACCTTATCTAGTTTTTAATATTAGGTATGAGAATTTGTTGGTCAACATAAATGTTCGCAGACTAAAATGGATGTCATAAATTCTTTAGTTTATTTGATCGAACCTCACAGATAAGTGATACGTCTATTTCTCAGGATAGCTTTGTCACTTGTAGTGTTGTGCTCGTTTATTTAAATTATCTTCTATATGGGATCTATATATAATTAAATCTCTTATCTCTTTCCCAATTTAATGGCCGACACCCACTTAGTGGAATAAAGGTTGGTTGTTGTTGTTGTTGTTGTTGCATACATGTATAGTAACTTATTTACATTTTTGTCTACTTTATATATTTTCACTCCCGAAATTAAAATGACACCCATTGATAAAGTATTTTTGTAAGGGAGAGTATAACAAGATTATAAAATGAATATGATTCAAAAATATGATACAAGATGACTTTGCATCTTCATATATCTATCGCCAGAATAGGTTTTTTATCATTAAAACGGATAAATTATTAGCTCCATAACTCACTATTGAATATTGTTGATAGCAAATATAAGATTAGATGCACTAAAATTTTGTTTAAAAATTTTAAGCACACCATTATTTCAGGTAGATCATGAATAAAGCTTGAAAAATGTGTTTTTGTTTGGTCAATCTTAAAAATCCCATAGGGTATTCCACATATGTTTGAGTTTTCTTAAAAAAAACTTATATTAAAAAATAATTTATAATTTATCATATACAGATAGTTTTTATTAAACATATATTAATTTTTTGCAACAATTTTATATGTTTATGCAATATCATTTCAAAGTTTGGTGCATAACCATAATACTTCACAGACTTCACCTTCTTCTTAATGTGATAATTTTATCTCATAAACTGATTAGAATTAATTTAAGAAAATGTTTTATTAGGTCTTGAATATTTTATGCATATTTATATGATTAATATTTAATAATTATATATGTATATTAATTTATGTGTATCATTGTTTCATTCATCATGTGATTGGATAATGCATCATGCTTCACCAGGATTCAAATTCTTAATCATATTTACAATAAGCAACAAAACTAACTTGAGCATTGGCTAAAACGATCTAACCTATGCTTTAAAGAATGGCTAATTGACACCCCCTCAAAGAAAAATGCATGTTCATTTAATAAGATGCACAATCCGATCAAAATCACAATTCATGACAATAACCCATCATTTCATAAACTAGCAGGATAATACACCCTAAACTCTAGAAACATTGAAAATTTAAGAAAATAAAGACATATATCTAATAGGGATTCATTCTATGACAGATACTAAATACAAAATTTTATCTTAAGGAGGCATTCAACTATGCATTCTCAAATGCTTAAATTAGAATTCAAACCTCAATAAACAATCAATGGTGCTTGCTGCCACCATCAGATTTTGAATGATCAGAGTGTCCTCTCCGATCTCTTGATTTACGATCCCTTCTTCCAATATCTGAGAGATCAGAAACACTTTCATCATCAGAATATCTACCTCGAGATCTGCTGCTTTTGTGCTTGTAGTTTCTTGTATGCCTTGTATGTTTTCTCTTTAATGAAGTCTTCTTTTCTGATCTGGGACGATTATGATATCCGCGACTATTTGAAGAATCAGAATCTGAACTACTCTGTTGACGCTGTGACCTGCTCCGATGTTTTCTATTTTGTTCTTTTTTTTTTTCATGACTAGAAAGAGCGCCGTCAGCTCCAGTTTTGGAAATAGTGATCATATTTTCCTTCCAAGAGCAAGAATCATTATGCCTTCTGTCTTCATAATAGACAGACTCGGTGTCTTTGGATTTCCATGATTTGTTTGGACCTGCATTGATTCCTGTAGTTTCAGGTATCCTAGATTCATGAATTCTAACTTCCATGTTATTCATGACAGAAGTTGATGCTTCAAAAGCTGGAGTGAGATTGCTCTTTCTTGGTAAGGTTAAACAGGCGGAATTTGCTTTGTCCAAGAGCGAAGGACCTGTTGGAACCTCCAATCCCAGCTCCTTACCTAAGGACTCAAGGAAATCTCCTGCAATAATGCGATTCAAAGTTGTGTTTGCCCCTTCAGACCTCTTCTCCATTTCAACCATTGAATTGAAACCCAAATCATCTTCATCATCAGAATCATCAGAAAATATGGCCTGATTAAAGAACATTACAAGAAAATGAAAATTGGAATTGAAATGCAAGATAACTCAACAATTAATCTCTTAGTATGCGAAGACTAAGTACCTTGTATAGATCAACAGGCCTCTGCACACTTGTGCTCAGATCAGTATCACGTTGCTGTGCCATTAGTTCATGTTCTTCCTGTCTTTCTACTGGGGCAGAAGCCAAAGATTCTTTATTCGCTGCAACAAAAGAAGAATTGCTATTTGCGGAGCTGATTCCTTCATTCTTAGCTTCAATAATGGAGTCTGTCATGAATACTAGAGCATCCATTTTGCTTCTTGGCCTTGGTGCCGGAGGTGGCTAAATGTGAAAAAAAAGATCATATGAGGAAAGCCTGAAGCATGACAACAATTTCAAAGGCAGTGCAAAGACAAGACACAAGAATTTGAACCAGAAAGGCTTAATAATTTTTAAATCCATCAATTCTTTATGGAAGCTATGACAAAGGATAATTAAATTTCAAGGCTCCATATGGAGAAACCATGAAGGAACCTTTTGGGAACGTGTATAACCCTTAAAACATGATGACAAGAATAAAATTTGTACTGTAATGATTATGACGCATACAATATCTATGATTCCAGAGATAATTTAGGAAATAAAATAGCAATATCTTGATCTATACTTTCATCTAAACCTAAAGATCAGGGGGCGCTAGCCAGTCACAAAATGAAAATACATAAAGCATATGCATCTACTTTCACCCCATAAAAATTTCAAAACATTTTTCTCGATTTCTAAGGGCTTGTTTGGGATCACTTTTATTTTTTGTTTTCTGTTTTTGCTATTATATTTATTTTAAAAGCAAGTTTGTTTAGTATATTTTTCACATATTTTTATTTTTAAAACAAATTATCTTACTACTAAAAACACTCAAAACATCTAACATTTGTTTCAAGTGCTTTTAAAAACAACTCACTATATTATAGCATATCAAACATGATTCAATTTAAGTAAAAACAAAAACTAATAATGATCCCAAACGGCCCATAAGTATTTGTATCAAAATGATGTGAGTTGTAGAGCAAAACGAAAAAAATTGCCTCATAACAGAAATATAAAATGGTATTGAAAGTCGCACTCAAATCAAAACACAATTAAATACTAAAAATTCAAGAATGATGATTAGTTAATCCGTTAGTAAGAATAATAAGTTGCGCAGAACAAATGCCAGACAATTAAACATTCACTGATACATCACATACACAAGATTCCCTCTCAACTCAAGTTCCATTCCATCCATAAAAACAAGGAAAGCTCACTTCAACCTGAAAATTCTAATCACCTAAAGCAAGTAAGATGCCCAAAGAAAGTAAGTTCCATAAAGTACCTTGCCCATGAATGGATCAACAATATCAAAGCGCTTGCACAATAGGAGTGAAGGCCGCCACTGGAATTCTTCCCTCTTGGGTAAAATGTTATTTGTCAGCATCTCTTCATCTTGAGAACATCGATGTGCCTTATTTAACATGCCAGAAACCATCAAAATATGTTTAATTTAGAGAAATAATATACTTTACTATCACTCAAGAGAAATAAATGGAGGATTCATAAAGCCAACCTAAGTAATTAGCATAAGGTTAATGGTTGATGAATACAATATCAGCATTTTAGGTGAGCAAGATGAGATGTATTTCATACCAGTCCACCTAATGACATAAAATGTTCATCTCCAGTTTTGGAAAAATCAATAGACTGCTGGTTGGTTTGCAGACAATCTTCAGTGTTCTGTTTTGCTTTTGTTAATGCCTCAGCTGCAGCCTCAAAATCCAATCTCTCACGAGCTCGCTCCACTTCTGAGAACTTATCACTGCCACTATAAGATGTTGAACGAAGGCCTCCTTGGTACTTCTCTTTAAGAAATAGCTCAAACCTCTCTTGTTTTGCAGGATCCTCTTTGAAAGTCTTAGCACATTCTGATGATCCAACCTGTGAAAGTTATGCAATAATTTTTCAAATCTAAACTAGCACATAAAGTGAACTAAACATGTAACTAAAAAAGAGAGCAGGGGAATTGCATTTTAAACCATATCAAACCCAAGATACTCACAAGTGCTGAAGATTTTGTGAATGTATCAGAGAGGTTGGATTGAAAGTGGACAACTGCAGTCCGCGTTGCAGATTTTAAAGATTCATTTGAACTCCTTTCTAGTGGTCTTTCACCCAGTACTTTTCCACGGTTGTCAGCAGACATCTGTACGGATACAACATATTCCACGCCTGCTTGTTTTTCCTGATCCGCCAGCCTACGCTTTGCCTCCCACAATTTCCTTGCATAGTAATCATAACCACTCCCGCCATTAAGAAATGAAAACATTGGATTCGATCTATTTTTTTCTTTGGAAAGATCTTCAAATAGTTTGCCACAGCGAGCAACCAGATTTGCAAACCCATCAATCAATAATCTTGAATTGTCATCTTCTGGTGCAGGGACTTCTGGAGGAGGTGGCTCCAAAAACTTTTCAATAGTTTCAAGAGGAGACGCAAACTTGTGATAAGGCTCAAAGTCGGGCGGAATGACAGGAGGCTGAAATCTGTGAAACAATTCAGACACATAAAAATGTTAATATAGTTTGAGCTTGGCACCTATATATTGGATTTTTGCGTGTAGAACTAAAAGACCAGGCTAATACCAGATACTAGGCTAAGCCTGCTTTTTATAAATTCAAATATACTGTGCAGGTAAAGCTATGTGAGATACTGCAGAGGTGCTTATATCTAATTTACATAAGATGCCAATTAGATTTATTTTTATTAATTATATAGCACCTCAGGTCCACTGACGACATTCTTATTTCTTCATTCAAATGCATCTTCTTTTTTTTCCTGGACAAATGTTCCATTTCAACAAATTCAATTTTTGTTTTAATAAAAAAGAAAAATATCCCACTACATTGCACCATAATTTCCTTTGAGAAATCAATGTAATTCTTTTTTTCAATATTATCCATAGCCCATGTGACAAAATGGAGAATGATTATTCATAAAACTCGCCTCAAAATAGGTGGCATAAGGGTATTGGTTATGATTATGATAATCAAGACGACTACTATCCATGAATTTGATCATAGAACCAAACATATTTTCATACATGGAATTCCTGAAACACATAATTTTGAAAAAAAGAATAATCAATATTGCACAATTTTTATATGCTGATATCCTCTTTACAAACATCGAGACTTCTCTTCTTCTTCGCCATGTTTAATTGACTCTTATTTTTCAAACAATATACTCTTATCAAATAGATAGATTACTGCCTACATTACAAACACTACTAGGTTCTCAAAAATATTAAAAGTTAGTAAAATGAAAAAGAAGATTGGAACGCAAAACCAGCTCATTCTAAACAGCTTGATATTTGATATGCAAATATTCAAAGGTCAAATATAAGTGACAGAAATGTAAAAACTACCATTAAAATTTAAAATTTGGCAGTTACCGTTCTAAACTGTAGTCAGAGCTTGATGCAATTTTAAAACTAGGTAGACCTCCCTTAGTGTTTTCCAGCATGAGCTTATCATCTCCAATTAGTTTTGAAGGTTGATCTTCTTCTACTTCATTCATTAATAGTCCAAAACCTAAAGAACAAAATACTTTTAAATAAAAAAAAAAAGTTTAAGAAAAAAAGTAAATACAAAATACAAGTTTAGCAGATCAAATTGCCAGGGCTTCAGGATTGATAAGTGAAGGAAAACGTGATAGTAAGAATTCTCTTATTCTTTAATGATCAAAGTACAACTCTACTCATATAATGAATAAAAAAAAGTCTAACATTACAACATACCAAAGACACAACAAATAACAAAAGAAATATAACTTAATAAGAAAGGACTAAACGAGAATAAATTTAAAATGGGAAACTCATAATTCTCACTCTCCCTCAAGTTGGGTCATAGATATTGTAATTGTAAAGACCCAACTTGGTATTCAAATCAGTGAAACTACCTGGAGGTAAAGATTTAGTAAGGACATCAGCAACTTGAAGATGAGTTGGAATGTAGATTAAGTGAATAATCCCTCCATTGATCTTTTTAGAGAAAAAATGTCTATCAATCTCATGTGCTTGGTCCTGTCATGATGCATAGGATTCTTTGCAATACTAAATGGCGGTTTGGTTGTCACAAAACATCTTTTATGAGATTGACTATATAGTATCCCAACTCATTTAGTACACTTTAAATCCACATTCCTTCATAAATTCCTAACATAAGTGTCTGATACTCAGATTATGCACTACTTCTAGAGACCACTGTTTGCTTCTTGCACTTCCATATGACAAGATTTTCCCGAAGACATAAGAATAATACCCAGAGAATGATCTTTTGTCTGTGAGTTTTCTTGCCTAGCTAGCATTAGTATACACATCTACCTCTTTGTTGTCAGATTTCTTAAACAATTACCCACTACGAGGAGCCTTTTTAAGAAACATCAAAATTCTGTAAACCATCTACAATTTTTTTCCATTTCGATTGTTCATGTGATGACTTACTATACCAATAGAGAAATGTATGACAAGTAGATAAACTTTCCCACAAATCTCTAGTATCTATCTTTTTCCACTAGTGTCTTTTACGTCCCTAGCTATAATTTTTTCGTTGAAATTCATAGGAGTCTTAGTAGGTTTGCACCACAACATTTTCTTCTTTCTTTTAATAGGTCTAGGATGTACTTTCTTTGGGATATCATAATATCTATCTTGAACTTGGCCACTTCCATGCCTAGAAAGTATCTCATAGCTTCGACATCCATAATTTCAAATTCAGTAGCAAGAACCACCTTAAGCTTCACAACCTCTTTGTCGTCATCTGTCAAGATCATATTATCTACATAGACAATGAGTACAACTTTCTTACCCCCCCCTGTATATACTTTGTGAGCAGTGTATGATCAGCTTGGCATTAGATGTATCCATTAGATTTCATAGTCTTGACAAACTTGTCAAAGCAAGCCCATGGAGAATGTTTGAGATCATAAAGTGATTTTCTTAGTTTACAAACATGATGTTTATCTAAGTCATCTCTAGTTCTGGTGGGATCTCCATACATTTCTTCCTTAAGATCTCCATTCAAAAATGCATTATTGACACCAAGTTAATATAGTTCTCACTCTTTATTCACGGCCAAGGAAAGAAGAACATATGTTTAATTTGACCAGTGGAGCAAAAGTCTCTAGATGATTTATCCCATAAGACTGAGGGAAATCTTTGGCCACCAAACTCGCCTTGAACCTCTCAATGCACCCATCTGTCTTGTACTTAGCATTTAACACCCATTTGCATCCGAAAGGTGTGTATATCGCATTAAACTTAAAAAAGAAGTATCAAAAAGTACAAAAAATAAGTCCTCAGGTTTGTGCAAAAGAGGCCCTATCATCTCGGAGGATGGCAAAAATCTCCTAGGATTCCGGAACCGAGTCAAAAGAAAAACTATGAATAAGAGCCCTTTGGGCACACAAATGGTTAGCTCTATTGAGCTTGTGAGGTATAAAATGAAAAATTACTTGTATGAAGAAAGTAAGAAAGGCAAAAATGTGGCATTAATCCAAGTTGTCCTTCCAGCTTCCATGATCCATCGATCTCCTTATGTGATTGATGACCTTAATGTTATGACCCTCCAAAATAATACCTTTGGTCTTGAAAATCCGAGGCTGGAAGATATTGTGAATAGATAGAATAGCCTAGAGCTGCACAAAGCCATTGTCCCAATGTTGCAAGTGATGGCCCATCGGACTCCGTTTTTCATTAATGATAGCAAAATGCTTGACGGCTTCCTTAAAGGAGTTGAAGGTCGGCATAGGAAAAACCACTAACTTAAAAACTGTAGCACCTTGCACACCACCAAACAGTTGGCGATAATCATGTAGGATAAAGTAATGAGTAATATTAAGCAAATTGTAAATTATGTTCTTGGGGAATTAAAAGATCAATTTTTATGAGTAAAAATAGTTGGTGGTGGAATAATAATGTGAAAGAAAAGATAAATAAATTTTTTTTTTATAATAGTTATTTAAATATAAGGTGGTTCACAGGAAGTCTGAGAGAACAATCTATGATTCTAGGAATTATGCTTTTAGTGATCTTTATAATATATTTAATACTAAAAAAAATCAATGATATGTATAAAAATTAGTCAAATGATAAAGATTTAATTCAAGTATAAAGTGCACTAAGAATGAAAATTAAGAAAAAATATTCTTCTAATATGAGCATATTCATCATAGGTGAGTGAGATATTTGGATAAATTTTTCAATAATGATTGTGAAATACGATCAACTCCAAGGATTTTAATATCATAAATAATAACATAACTTTTATTTTTCAACGTTCACATTAGCAAAATAAAAGTTAAGTAGGCTTTAAAGAAAATGAAGTATAGAAAGGTGGTAGGACTTGATGATATTCCAATAGAAGTGTGAAAATATTTAAGAGATTTATGAATTTTTAAGTTGACTAAACTTATTAATATTACTTTAAAATCTAAAAAAAAATGCTTAATGAGCAGAGAAAGTTTATTGGTTCCAATATTTAAGAATAAAGAGAACGCACAAGGGTGGGCAAATTATAGAGGTATTAAGTTAATGTGGCGTACATTAAAGTTATGGGAGAGAGGAACTAAAAATAGGTTACAACATGATACAAAACTTTCTCAAAATCAATTTGGATTTATGCCAAGCAATTCTACTTTGGAAGCTATACAGTTATTGAGAGGTTTGATGTAGTACAGAGAGAGTAAGAAGGATCAACATATGATTTTTGTTGATACAGAAAAAACTTATAGTAAGGTTACAAGTAAAGTACTTTAGCAGTTCTAAAAAAAAAGGTGTTGATATTTCTTGTACTCGAGTAATTAAAGATATGTATACTAGTGTTGTTAATTGTGCTCAAACACAATAATGATTGACCAAGTATTTTTTTTCAATTCGATTGGATTACAGCAGAGACAGGCTTTAAGCCCATATCTTTTTTCTTTAGTTATGGATGTTTTTACAGGACATTTATAAGAGGATGTATCTTGGTGTAAGGTTTTCGCTGATGATATACTTCTTTTGGATAAAACTAGAGAGAGTTCAAGAAAAAACTTAAAATATGGATGTCAACTTTAGAATCTAAAGACTTTCATTTGAGTAGATTTAAAACTGAATACATGAAATGTAAGTTTAATAATAATATATCCAATGAAGGGGTAGTAACACTCATTGATTAAGTCATTAAAAGGAGTGAATATTTTAGATATCTCAAGTCTATTGTTCAAAGTGATGGTGATATAGATGGGGATGTTATTAGTAGAATTCAAGTTAGATGGTTAAAGTGGAGGAATGCATTGGGTCTATTATGTGATAGAAAAGTACCACTCAGACTAAAAGGAAAATTTTATAAAATGATGGTGAAACCTATAATGCTTTATTGTACAAATGTTGGTCTATAAAAGAGAAGCATAAAATTAAGCTAAGTGTCGTTGAGATGAGAATGCTCAGGTGGATGAGTAGATTTACACTTAGAGAGAAAATATGAAACTAATATATCAGTAAAAGGGTTGGAGTAGCTTTAGTGGAAAACAAAACTAGAGAGTGTCCCTTAGATGGTTTGGATACATTAAACGTCGACAATCTGATAACAAAGTTAGGAGAGTAGATGTTTTAGATTTGACTTGTGTTAGGAAAGCTAGATATAGACCTAAAAAGATTTGGGGCATATTGTATAAAAAATGATCTTAATTTATTAGAATTAAATAAAAATATGACACTCAATAGGACACAACGGAGATAAGGGATTCATGTAGTCGACGTGGGTAAAGGCTTGTTATTGTTGTTGTTGTATAAAATTCTCTACTAAAAAGTTGTCGAAAAAAGAATGGTATATTTGTTTAATTAGAAGAATCAATCCTTCAAGAGTATAAGTTACCAAAGTAATTTTATCCATAAATTATTAATATAGCATATTAAATGATGAAGAGAATTTATTTAAGAAAGACCTCCTATTTTTTCTTTTTTTTTTTTGGTAAAGAAATTTGAGATTGAACATCTGCATATTTTTTAATGTAAGTGTTTTATTCTAAAGAATTAAAAAGAATCTTTAGAAAAATTTAATAGTAAATGTGATGATGAAATTTCTTAGGCTATTCTAATTTCAAAAGAGCTTAGAGAGTTTTCAAAAAAAAATTAAAATAAAGAAGAATCAGTACATATCATTTTTTATGAAATTTCAGTTGATCCTATTAAAGATTATGTGAATGAAGAAGAAGTTGATAAAATTGAGAAAACGAATTTGGAAAATAAAGTGGTTGATTCTTTGTCTAAAGAATAAAAGATAATTTATGGATTATTACTTTGAAAGAAGAGTCAGAATCAATTTATAGGGAATAGGATTTGAGAATTGATCTTTAAATGCCAAGATAAAAATATAATTGAAACAAAATGAGTCCATAGAAACAAGTTAGATGACTCAGATTGTTTTGTTAGAAATAAGGTTAGATTTATTGCATAGGGTTAGACTCGATTGGAGGTATAGATTTTGAATCTTTTTTGCACCTAGCAAGATTAATGGCCATTAGACTATTCATTGCTTATGCATGTTTTTGAAACTTTAAAATCTTTCAAATAGATGTAAAGAGCACATTCCTAAATGAGTTTATTGATCAAGATGCTTTCGTAAAACAAACTCATGGTTTCAAAAGCACCGAATAGCCCGATCAAACATTCAATTTGAAGAATGTTTGATATGCTTTGAAATAGGCTCCTTTAGCATGATATGATAATCCAAACAATTTTTAATTGATTAAAAATTTAGAAAAGGTTGAATATGATACTATTTTATTTATTAAGATTATAGGAGATGATTTGACCATTTTATAAATGTATGAAAATGATATATTGCTTTGAAGTAATAATAAATCATTGCATCACAAGTTTTCATCTATAATATTTAAAAATTTTGAAATGTGTATGATGAGATAGCTCAACCTTTTTAGATCTTCAAGTGAAACAATAAAAAAATGCATCTTCCGTTTTAAACTAGGCATACAAATGAATTGATTGAAAGATTTTACATAAGAAATTTAAATATAATAAGATAATCATGAGCCCAACTACAAAATTAGATTTTGGTGAATTAGGAAAATCTGCAGATAAAAACTTCATAGGAGTTTCACTGTTATACCTTACTGCTAGTAAGGCTGAAATTATTTTTGATGTATGCCTTCGTAGGTTTGCTTTCAGGCCAATCCCAAAGAATCACATTTAACAGCAATAGAGCATATATTTAGTCATTTTTATGTGCATCCTTATTAGGCTTGTGGTATCCTAAAATTTTCAAGTCATGTGATATAATTGCCTATTCTAAATTAATAATGTAGATTATGCTAGCTGCAGAGTTGATTGAAAGATTATCTCAGACATACGTTAATTTTTAGGATCATCACTTATATCTTGATTTTCTATGAAACAAGATTCTATCGATTTATTCACTATTGAAGTTGAGTACATAGTTGCACGTTGTTATGTTGCACAGATTATTTGGTTAAAATAATAGATAGAAAGTTTTAGACTTAAACTAGAACAGCACATTCCAATTAAGTGTGATAATATCAATGTTAGCTTAATTAGGAGTCCAATCTAGCTACAAATGAGTTACTCACATGACTGTAGAAAACAGCAAAGTGTTGTTGTGGGCAGCTACAGAAAGGTACGGTGGCAATGTGGGAGGATGCAGAAGGGAGTAGGAGGAAGATAATCACCACCTCAGGAGAAGGATCCAACCGGAGCACCACTCAATCCGTTGGATACAGCACTCAAGGAGGGAAGAAAGGCTGTCAGCGCTGTCCTAAACACATCAAACGAAAAAAAAAACTCCTAAGATAAATCCTAATACACACATATATAGGGAAGGACTAAGAAAGAACAAAGGATAATAGGAAAGAAAGAATAGAAAGGAAACCGAGACTATTTAGGCAGCCCAACTCCCGTCTTCCACAATTTTTTTCCTCGTGGTACTGTATCAGCTACAGTACCAAGAGAAAATTGTGCAGGAAAAGCTCCTCTGTCAGATTGAACTCTCAGGAAGCCCTGGATTAGTTTGGTCCAGGAGAAAAACATGCGGCTGCCGCGTCTGTCCCACATGCCCAAAACCCGCGTCCACACTTTGATGCTCGCACCTCAAACAAGAAAATAACTTACAATGAAGTAATCATATGGTATGATCAACAAATAAAATTTGATGATCAGCTAAAGCACTAAAAAAACACAAGCAAATGAAAGATATAAGACTAACAATCATTCCAAAAATTCACCAATGATAAATAAGCAAACAAGAAGCTAAGAAAAGCACTCTCATGTGGGCAAGTTAACAGGCCTAATTAGCCCAAAGAAAATGTTGTCCATTCAGTATCTTCAATACTTCATTTATAAAGCAGTAAATGACGAGGCAGTTTCAATGGAATCATAAAAACGGGTAATTCTTTGATGTTATTTTTAAACGATTTTAAATGAACAGAATTCTTGCAAAAGAATTTCTTAGACGGTGACAAAAAATATAGTACAAGTATGAAGGATTCATACAGCCACCATCCAACACTAACAATCATTCCAAAAAGTTCACCAATGATAAATAAGCAAACAAGAAGCTAAGAAAAGCCCTCTCATGTGGGTAAGTTAACAGGCCTAATTAGCCCAAAAATAATGTTGTCCATTCAGTATCTTCAAAACATCATTTATAAAGCGGTATATGACGAGGCCGTTTCAATGGAACCATACAAGCGGGTAATTCTTTGATGTTCTTTTTAACAGATTTTAAATCAACAGTATTCTTGCAAAACAATTTCTTAGAAGTTGAAAAAAAAAATAGTAAAAGTATCAAGGATTCATCCAGCCACCAACCAAGACTGCACCTCCCACAGAAACATCCTACTCTACCTTCCAGTCAGCATCAACAAGCCCGAATATCTCTACATCCATTACTGTCTCTAACCCTTTCCATATCCCCCTAAGACCCAAACATCTCTCCTTGTTTAGGCCACTCTCCCATCTAGGCTAGCAGACTATCTTCTTTTAACCTGCTCTACCAACGCAACCACAGATGGCTCTCAGCACTAAGTTTCCTGGCCAGAGCTTGATCAGAACTATACAACAGCAACAACAATAACAATGACGACAAGCCTTTATCCCACTAAGTGGGGTCGGCTACATCAATCATTTTTCTTAATTGTGCCCTTGATCAGAACTATAGAAGAAAAAAATGGAACCAAGAAGGGCTGGAACATGAAGTTAGACAAACAAGCTCAGCTACAGTATAGTTGAGCTTATTTCACATCGCCAACTCAAACTTCATACAAATTTGAAGCCAGACAATTTTGGAGTTTTGTTGTTTAACTAAGCTACCAAGAGGATCAGTTCCTGGTTTTAAATTCAAGTTGAAGAGTAAACAATCATTAGACAAGTGATATTATGAAAAAAGTAGCCTAACAAAATTAGCATGAAAGAGTAATTGTAATTGTTAATTCTCACCAGAAGCATAAATGTCCTCATCATCAATGTCAAGCTCCTCTAATGCCCCAATCCCAAAGCCAGGCCTGCTGATGATTGAATGAAAGTTTAAGTCCAAAATCAAAAGGAAATGAAAATTTTTCTAGAACGATAATTCGTGATATAAGTGCTCCACTTCGCAAAAGAAAGAGAAACTATTTTTATCAAACAATGGAATCTAAGATCATATTACAGTCTGGCGCCAAATGATTTCCCTTCATTAAAACATCTCGTTTGACACCTCGATTATCTCGGGATTCATGCAACATTTTCCTCTCTGAGAATAATGAAAGAAATCTATCAAACTAGTAGAAACATTTCACAAAATATTAAATTGTGCTAGAAAAAATTCTACCCTCTCAAGAGCTTTCAGTCACCTTTAAATTCAGGAGCATGCTCAAAAGGATCATAGCCCAAGCCATATAAATCCTGCTTCGGATTGACAACATACGCCTAAACAAGAGAATTGGAGTTTAAAAACAATTTCTCATAGACCACAAAGAAGATTAAAATCCATTTCATGTTATTAGAAAGGGGAAAAAATTTGAAATCAATTTCACGTCCTAGATGAAAGATCAAACTACAAAAATCTTCCTGTAATATGCACGATTGGACAAGAGGCAAAATAAACATTTTATATGCAAGAGATATATAGGATTCTAATAGAAACTGACATGATTGTTTCCATGGGCTGGAGAAGTACTGACGCAGGCGCTAAACTACAGCACCCGGATGTGGGCGTTAAATGCGCCCCGAAGCAGGGCGCTTTGATCCCGCGGGCCAGAAGACCCACGAAGCTTCGCAGGAGTTGTAGCGGGGCAGGATCACGATCTCATGCGTAGACCGAAGTGAATCGCGAACATTCGCGATCCTAGAAGGCGCCACACCTATCTTCTTTGAGAAGGGTTTTTTTGGATTCTTCTTGTCTTCCCACCCTCTTCCTTTGTGTAGAAGTTTCCTTTGTCCAGCCAATATCTATAAATTAGTGTCCTTAGTGTGTGGGGAGTCAACTCTGGTTGGCTTGTATACAAATCTATTGTGTGGAGCCTTTTTTTTCTCTTGCTAGGGCTAGGGTTGTATCCGACGACAGGTGGTGCTCCGGTTATATCCTACTCTGAGGTGGTGTTGTATCCTACCAAGCTCCTCCACTACTTCCTCCCGAACCCTCTTCTACCCTCTTCCCTAGTTGTCAACCACCCCATATCCCTCCACCACTACGTGGCCACCTCTACTCCCTCCACACCCTTGTTGTCCAGCCTACCTACAACCACCCAAACACCAACCCTACCCAACCAAAGAGCCTCCTTGTTTTCCCACCTTTCCTTACCACCCTGTCGACGCCGCCACCACCTTCGAATCTCTTCATACAGTGCTCCCTAGAGATTAGTCTATTATTGTATTCTATTTCCGTTTGAGTAGTGTTGTAATCTTATTTTTATATTAATAAAATTTGCTTTTGTGTTTCGCTATAATCTAACTAGTTCAGGTATCATTTGATATCAGAGCTAGCCCGACCATAGTCCCATCCTAGGGTTTCCTAGCATCTACCACTACCCAAACCACATCCACCCAATTTTTTTCATCCCAATTCCCACTCTAACCATGTCACTGCGGAAAGATACATCAGGCTCTACTCGGGAAGGGATCAAACAAGAAATTTGTCATCTACAACTAAGACTAACCGAGCTGGATGACGGGAAGCAGGAAGAGATTACATTTTACCATGATCGAGAGAGTCCAGGGGAAAACAGGGACGAGGGGAATTCGTTCTACATGGAAGATTACAACGACGAGAAATATCGACCACGTCGTTTTGGCAACCAATATCAAAGGAGGCCGAGAGAGGAAGCTCCTTATGAGGTCAGTGGGACTTTGGCATCAAAATGAACCTCCCATAATTTGAAGGAGTTATGGACCCCGATGAGTTTATAGACTGGCTCAACTGGCTACAATCAGTCGAATGGATTTTCAAGTATAAAAATGTACAAGACAAGCAAATCAAGCTAGTTGTCATCAAACTAATGAAGAATACCTCCTTATGGTGAGAAAATCTACAAAGGTAGAAGATAAGAGAAGCAAGTGAGAAGATAACTACGTTGGAAAAGATGAAGAAGGCTACCTCCCATCGCTATATCGTCGAGATATGTTCCTAAAACTCCACAACTTGCAGCAACGGGATCTTTCAGTTGAGGAGTTCACAGCCCAGTTCGACCAATTGTAGCTGAAGTGCGAACTAACAGAGTCAGAGAAGCACACGATAGTCAGATATCTCAAGGGGTCAAAGGCCCTCCATTAGCAATGTGGTATAGCTACAATCATACTGGATATTGAGGGATGTCCAGACACTAGCCATAAAAGTGGAAAGGCAGCAAAAGCAAAACAGGCAACAACCATCCTTCAGACCACCATCTTCAGCCAAGCAGTCACCTGCGACTTATATAGCCGACAAGAGTACCTCGGAAGGAAACAATAGAAACAGACAGGGAACTGATAAGACAGATCAGAGTGGGAATAAGCCATAGAAAGGTGGTTCCTCCAATACCGTGCCAGCCAGAAAGTGCTTCTGATTCAACGGCTACAGTTACATAGCCTCCATCTGCCCTACAAGTCGAGTCGTCACACTCACAAGTCAAGGCGTCGTTGAGGAAATTGATGAAGAATCAGAGGAGAGTCCAAGAGAAGAGCTTCAGCTCCACGGAGACAAGGGAGAAGTGTTAGTCATTCAGTGAATACTATAGTTCGAGCTAGAACGGGACCCATCCTGGTTAAGGCATAGCATTTTTCGCACCAAGTGTGTTGTTAAGGGAGAGGTTTGCAGCCCGATCATCGATAATGAAAGCTGCAAGAACGTAGTAGTGTCCACGTTCATGATGAAAAAGTTAGGATTGAGCACACAGAAGCATCTCCAGTCATATTCCCTTACCTGGCTAAAAATGGGAAATGAGATATGGATGGACCAACAATGCCTAGTTGGTTTTCCATCGGATACCAACTACACCAACAAGTATGGTGTGATGTGGTACTTATGGATGACTTCCACATTCTGTTAGGTAGGCCTTCATAGTTCGACCACAAGACCCAATATGACGGGTTCAAGAACACTTATTCTGTCAAGAAGGATGAGAAACATATGATTTTGCTACCTGCTAAGGATACAAAAGACGAGAATGATACAGAGGCGGCATAAGTTCCCCGGACCACTTTTCAACAGTCCATAAGTGATGCCCCAGTAACACTCACATTAGTCCTAGAAGAAAGCGAGGAGAAAAGAGAGATACCAGCACTGTTATAGCTGTTACTACAAGATATTTGGGATGTTATGACCAACAGCCTACCGGAGGGATTACTGCTACTAAGGGACAATCAACACGTCATCGACCTTATACCAGGATTTTATTGCCAAACTAACCAATCTACAGATTAAGACCTGCGGAGTATGAAGAACTACAATGACAAGTGCAGGACATTGTTGCAAGAGGGCTAGTCAGAGAAAGCACCAACCCGTGTCAGTCCATGCCCTGATGGTGCCCAAAGAAGATGAATCGTGGCGGATAAGCATCGACAGCGGAGCCATCAAAAAGATTACAATTAAGTACCTATTTCCCCTACCCCACATGGATGATCTCTTAGACCAGCTACATGGAGCTACTATCTTCTCCAAGATCAACCTGCGCAGTGGATATCACCAACACGGATGAGGCTAAGAGACGAGTGGAAGACCACCTTCAAGATGCGGGACAGACTTTATGAGTGGATCGTTATTCATTTCGGATTGTCGAACACACCTAGCACTTTCATGAGATTAATGAACTGGGTATTTCGACCTCACATTGGAAAGTTTGTCGTTGTCTACTTTGACAATATTCTAGTATACAGCCTGTCAGAGGATAATCACTTACATCACCTGAAGGCAGTATTCGAGGTACTGTGAACCGAGCAATTGTATGTCTATCTGAAGAAATGTCACTTCATGACAAGTCATGTATGCTTTTTGGGTTACATCGTGCAGGCATTCAGATGGATCTCGTAAAGATAGATGTCATTATCAGTTGGGGCGTACCATAATCATTTACAGAGCTGAGAATTCATGGGCTAGCATCATTCTATCGGAGATTCATTAGGAACTTCAGCACTATCACCTCCCCTCTAATTGAACTTTTGAAGGAGTTTGTTAAGATAGCAGTGGCCCAAGACAGTTTTGACACACTAAAAGAAAAGGTGACCAAGAACCCGCGCTAGCACTACCAGACTTCAACCAACTCTTCGAAGTAGAGTGTGATGCTTCTAGCGTTGGGATCGAAGCAATGTTGAACCAGGGAGAATACCCCCATCGCCTTCTTCAGTGTGGAGTTGAATGAGTCCTGGAGAAAATACTCGACATACGACAATGAATTATATGCCATTGTTAGGGCCCTGAAGCACTGAAGTCATTATCTATTAATGAACAAGTCCACACAATTTACGAATCACGAGGCCTTAAAATTTTTCAATAACTAGAACAAACTGAAGGGTCGATACTCTACTTGCTAAAATTTCTAGCCTCATTTCAATTTGTGCTAAAACAGATAGAGGTAGTAAATCGGAGCCTCGATAATCTCCTAAGATGTTTCGTGGGAAAAATAAATAAAATTGTGGGATTTTATTCTAGCCCAAGCTGAGGTCGCCTATAATTGATCCATCATCCAAACTACTGAATGAACTACCTTCGAGATAGTGTACAGACAAAATAAGCTCACGTTACTAGAATTGGTGTCGCTCCTATCATCTTCAGAAACCAGCAAGGATGCCACAGAATGAGTTCACAAGTTTCAAAAGCTCCATGAAGAAGTTGGCAAGGAAACTGCTAAGCAAAGTTGCTAATATCAGACACATGCAGATAAATCCAGGAAGAAAGTAACATTTTAGGAAGGAGACCTCGTATGGATTCGGTTAAAAAGGGAAAGATTTCTGGTAGAAACATTCAGGAAGCTTAAGCCAGGAGCAGATGAACCTTTCAGAGTACTTCAGAAGTTGAACAACAACTCTTATAAGATCGACCTATCGGTGAACTACAACATTTCAACCATGTTCAACTTCGCCGACCTGACACCATACTTTGAAGAGCCTGGAGCTTCGAATAACGAGGTCAAAATTTCCCCAATTTCAAGGAAGACTGACGCGCTAAACTACAGTGCTCTGGTCTGGGGATTGAAATGCACCCCGAAGCGGGACACTTTGATCCCGCAAGCTAGAAGACCCGCAAAGCTTCGCAGGAACTGTAGCGTGGTGGGATCACCATTTCAAGCGTAGACAGAAACGGACCGCGAAATTTTGCGATCAAGGAATGTGCCACACCTGTCTTCTTTTGGAAAGGGTTTTTTGGGGTTCTTCTTGCCTTCCCACCCTCTTCGTTTGTGTACAAGTTTCTTTTGCCCTGCGGAAACCTAAAAATTGATATCCTCTATGTGTGGGGAGTCAGTTCTGGTTGTCTTGTATTCAAATCTCCTATGTGAAGTTTTTTTTCCTCTTACTAGGGTTGTATCCGACGACAGGTAGTGCTCCAGTTGTATCCTGCTCCGAGGTGGTGTTGCATCCTGCCAAGCTCCACTTCTTCTCCCCGACCGCTTCTCCTACCCTCTCCCCTAGCCGCCGACCACCACATATCCCTCCACCACTCTGCCGCCACCTCTACTCCCTCCACACCCTTGTTGTCCAACCTACCTACAACCAACCAAACACCAACCCTACCCTCCCAAAGAGCCTCCCGATCTTCCCACCTTTCCTTACCACCCCGCCGACGCCGCCACCTCATTCAGATCTCTTCCTGAAGTGCCCACCGGAGATTAGTCTATTATTGCATTCCCTTCCCGTTTTAGTCGTGTTGTAATCATATTTTTATATTAATAAAGTTTGCTTTTATGTTTCGCTACATTTAACTAGTTCCAGTATCAAGTACAAAGTTCACTAGCATTTATATACACTCCTAACATCATATCCATCCCACTTGTTTCCAATCCAACTCCGCATCAAACCACCAAACAACATTTAAGAGAGAAAAATGGAAATCTAAACAGAAAGGAGAAAGATAAAAAAAAATTATTTATAAAAGTTTAATAAAAAATAATAAAGCATAAGAAATCATTTCAAAGCTTAAAGGTATCCAATTCAGGAGCTAATGGTCTATTAAGTAAAGTTCACAGAAGCTTAACTAATCATAAGGCTCATAAATTATAATGCTACAAAAGTACTCTGCAAAATCTTGGAAGCATAATAAATAGTGATGATATGGCAATTACTACACAAGACAAGTTGGAAAAATGAACCAAAGGTTTAAATTTATATGAAAATTAAGATTTTAAACAATTAAACTGATCTATGCAAAGCCCAAAATTTATTTAAACATTAGATCTTTTATTTACACAAAGAGAAAATGACTCAAGTATGTGCTAGGTAAAGATGCAAAGAAATAAAAAGCAAAGTATGAGTTACTCACATGAGGACTTCGGGGTGAAAAGAAATCATCATTTTCCTTTACGAAGGAATCTCCCATATCATGCTGACTGGATTTGGTATGTGAGAGGTTTTTTCCTTGATCATTACCAGAAAAAGCAAATAAAGCCTTTCTGGCTTCCCTCCTGGCATCTAAAAGGAGATAGCATATTCAACATAGAAATCTAAGCCAAAATCCAAGAGGACTAGCTACCGCATGGAATAACAAGCAATGACATATCATCAATTGATGATGAATGTACATATAATCAAGTCGAAATATCAAACATTTTATTGAAAATCTTCTAAGAAGGTGTAGGAAAAAGCCATTACCATGCAGGGAACTAGCTCGAGTCTCCTTGATTGAATGGCCACGTCGCCATCCCATTTTTAACAACAGCTTGACTCCTGTAAACAGATTAAAAAATCATAAAGTGAAACTGAAATGCTAAAAGATTAGCTCTAAAAGGGATTTTACAGAAATAAAAATACCAAACCACACCTATAGAACTTGATGCAGGGGCAACTATTTCATATGGAACAGGACCAGGAATTATTGAAGGCCTACAAAACAACAACCAAAGAGATGGCAAGGAAATAAGAAAAGCATCACATGTACTTTGATTGAGATATGTAATAACTGCATTAGAAGAGATTGATATTCCCCATCATCATCATTAACCTTATCCCAACTACTTGGTGTTAGATATACATATTATTATAACCATTACCCATAGAGTTGCACGAGGGGTTGACTCTATTTTTCAAAAATAAAAAACATTTCAAATAACTTCTACATATGCTACCATTGGTCTTGCACTCTCTTATTCCTTGCACATTCATTTCATAAACAAATCTTATTGGTGCATCATCAACCTTGATTGCCCATACCAACACTACCAAGTCTGTTCTCCATTATATTAATAATCAATAGGTGCACGCCCAATATCTCTATGATGTGATTATTTTTCAATCTATCATTCCAAAGTTTGCCACATTCACTATAATATTTTCCACGTCGTTACACTCAACATAGCAAACAATGACTTCTTGATTGCCAAAACAAAGAAGCTCCATATTTTGCACAAGATATAAGTTCTCATATCCACAAAAACAAAGGATGGAGAAAGATGAAACTATTTACAAAAGATTACCTTTTTCTGCATTCTACCTTTTCTTTCTATTTTGTGACTATTTATCCTATTTTTGTTCAAAACGATCCAGAAAAAAAGGTCGTCATATGAGAGCAAAACAAAAAATTAGCATAAGGTAATGAATAAGGTAAAAACAAAGATGGAGAAAGACGAAACTATTTACAAAAGGTTACATTTTTCTGCAAAAAGATCAAAATCAGTTAATAGAAAATAAATTATAGTAAAATGAAATCTCGCCTATGCTCGTATTCTACCTTTTCTTTCTATTTTGAGACTATTTATACTAATTTTGTTCAATACGATCCAGAAATAGAGGTCATCATATGAGAACAAAACAAATAATTATCATAAGTTAATGAATAAGGTAAAAATAAAGAGTTTACAACAATAAGAGAAAACGATTTATTTCTCTAATTAAGATCTAGAAGAGAATGACACGTGATAGAAAAGCTCAAAGAAGATAAATTCCAACAGTGAGCACAAAAAAAGATGAACTCAAATGAGCTTATTCATTGATTAACTTGTTGACAATAAAGGGAATGATTTATGCTAGTGTGGCATGCAAGTGAACAAATTACTGATGAATATCCCAAAAGAAGATAAAATTGCAGCAAAACTAGAATATACTATACTTGAATAACTCCATATTTGGAAATAGCACTTGATTATTGATTATCTCGGTGTTTTTTTAGTTTGAGTATCTATAGCCAAAAATCCAACAGCACAAAAAAGTACTAAGGACCTAAGCTTCAAAATAGGAGATTGTGATGAATCTTAAAAACAACAACAAAGCCTTAATCCCACTACGCGGGGTCGGCTACATGAAACATTTTTCTTCGTTGTGTCCTATTTAGTGTCATATTTCGCATGAAACATTTTTCTTCGTTGTGTCCTATTTAGTGTCATATTTTCATTTAGTTCTAAGAAATTAAGATCATCTTTTATACAATAAGTCCAGGTTTTCCTAGGTCTACCTCAGTCTTTCTTAACATAAGTCGAATATAAAACATCTACTCTCCTAATCGGATCATCAGATGGTCGACGCTTAATGTGTACCCAAACCAGCTAAGCCGACTCTCTCTAATTTTGCCCGTCACAGGAGCTACACCAACCCTGTCACGGATAATTCATTTTGCATTTTGTCTCTAAGTTAAGTGTAAAGCCACTAATCCAAAGCCACTAATCCACTTAATCATTCTCATCTCAGCAACACTTAACTTAGTATTATGCTTCTCTTTTAAAGGCCAACATTCAACGTCATAGAGCATTGGAGGTCTCACCACTGTCTTATAAAATTTTCCTTTTAATCTAAGTAGTACTTTTCTATCAGCAAAAGGCCCGAAACATTCCTCCACTTCAACCAAACAACTTGAATTCTACTATTAACATCCCCATCTATATCACCATCGCTTTGAACAACAGACCCGAGATATCTAAATCGTTCACGCATTTTAATAATTTAATCACCCAAAATTACACTTTTGTCACTAGAGCTACTACCACTCAAATTACATTCTATGTATTCAGTTTTAGTTCCTACTCAAATGAAGGCCTTTAAACTCCAATGTAGACCTTCATAATTCAAGTTTTTCCTGGATTTTTTCTCTTGTCTTATCCACGAGAAGGATATCATCAACAAAAAACATACACCAAGGTGAATCCTCTTGTAAATGTCCCGTAAGACCATCCATAACTAAAGCAAAAAGATATGGGCTTAAAGCCGATCCCTGATGTACTCCAACAGAAATAGGAAAATATTTCGTCAATCCTCCTTCAGTTCAAGCACAAGTAACAGCTCCAGTATACATATCTTTAATGACATGAATATAAATCATATCAACACCTTTTTTCTCAAGAACTCTCCAAAAGATATCTCTTGAAACCTTATCGTAAGCTTTTTCTAAATCAATAAAAATCAAATGTAGATTCACCTTATTATCTCTGAACTTCTCCATCAAACATCTCAATAAATGTATAGTTTCCATAATAGACTTGCCCAGCATAAATCCAAACTGATTATGAGAAATCTATATAATATGTCTTAGCCTATGTTCAATTACCCTCCCATAATTTTAATGTATGACACATCAACTTAATTCCTCTATCATTTGCACACTCTTGTGCATCCCTTTATTCTTAAAAATGGGAACTAAAATACTCTTCCTCCACTCCTCATGCATCTTTTTAGTTTTTAAAATAATATTAAGGAGTTTAGTAAGCCAAGAAACTCCCAAATCACCTAAATATTTTCAGTTCAATTGGAATATCATCGGGTCCTACAGACTTTCCACCCTTGATTTTCTTTAAAGCCTCCTCAACTTCTTTTTTACTAATGCGACGGTAAAAATGAAACGTTTTATCATTATTAACGATATTAAGATCACTTGATCGTATTGTGATGAATCTTAAAAAAAATAACAAAAAGATTGCAGCTTTCATAAAAGGACATCATTGTTAATACATGTATGTCATCGCCATCACCATTACCATCAACCATATTTCACATAGTTGGGTGCGGCTTTATTTATCCTTATTTATCATTAATGCATGGCCGAAATTTTATACATATTCTTTGCTGATCATTTAACAATCTTATCTATGTCATATGGTTGGACTCTTCCCTCCTAATCTTCTAATAGATCATCTTAACAATCTTATCTATGTCATATGGCTGGCCTCTTCCTTCCTAGTCTTCTAACATTAATTTTAACTACCCATCTATTGCTTTCATTTCCTACGCTTCAATGCGATGTCCAAACCACTTAAGTATATTTCGACCAAGTTAGCTTCAACCAATGTCCCTCCAATCATTCATCTAATATAAACATTTATTAATTTATCAATCCTAATTGTGTAGCACATCCATTTAAAATTCTCATTTTCATCACACTTAGCTTAGCCATCAATGCTTTCTTTTACTATCAAGACCTTGGACCCTTACAACATAGGATATCTAATTATCATTCCATAAATTGTACCTTTAAATCTTCATTATATCAGCACATCACAAAATATATTGATTTCCTTTACAATTGAAGTTATACCTAATCTATATCTTCTTGTTTTTCATATATAATTTATGCAAGATGCACAAATCTATTACATATTGTTATCACTCTACTTTCTAATGATATTATCTACGAATTGTTAGTTTCACACCCGGTAAAATTGCATGTCATGAAACATTTTTTTGTTAATTCAAGCCATTTATCTTCTAAAAGCTATTTCCATGGTACTAAATTTTCACTTAATTATTAGTAGATATCCACCAATTAGACTTATGTCATCTACAAAAATTCTACACCAATGAAGCTCGTTTTGCAAACCCTATATAAACAGCTCCAATAACAACATAAAAATATATTAATTCAATCATAATCCTTGAAGCAACCATACAATAATTGAAAACACGATAGTCGCTCCACATCTACGAATACCAGTAAATAATCCATTATACATAATAACTAAATATATCTTTGACACATACGTTACTTCATATGCATCATATCAATTTTTATGATAATCAACCATATTCCTTTTGACCAATAAAATCATATATATCTCTCTCTACACTCTATACATAATATACTTGTGTTAACACAATAGCATACATTATATATCTTCTTAGCTTGACACAAATTTATTCTTAGAAAAAAGATGTTATTTTTTCAAGTCTACATTTCATTACTCTCTCTCTATCATACTTTAATTGTATGACTCAAAAGTTTCATCTTGCTATGACTATCATGCTCTTCCGCTAATGTTCATAATTATGGGTACAAAATATTGCTTCTCAAATCAATTGGCAACTTTTAATCTTCAAAATTCCATTAAACAATTTGCTAACCTAACCATGCAATTTTCACTCTACCCATGCATCTAAACTTACAACTGGCCAATATGGCTCTTCTACAGTGTAACTCTACTTCACTTTCTTCGAACCAAATCACAGCATGCTCAACTATTTTGACTCTTCTTATCTTTCAATTTTTTTTCTTAAATTTTTGAATAATAATTTTTTTCAAAATAACATTTTGTTATTCATTGATATCTTCATATCTAACTAAGAACCCACTATCACTGCTTTTAATGCACCTAACTTCATTAGAGTGTCCAGATCTCGCTTATCTGCCAATTTAAATATTTTATAAATCTCTTTTTTCTCTTTCTTAGCACAACAAATTATCAAAAAAAAGAGTGTTTGCTTCGCTAACAACCTTTTTTAACATTATTTTTAAATTTTTTATCATCATTTTAAAGCTCAATACTGCTTAACTTTTACTAAATTTTAAAAGCAAATTACATTGCCTTGATATTGTTTTATAACTCCTCACTCCACTAAGCCTCCTTACTACTTTACAATAAGTTTCTAAACTCTCCTAAACTTTTTAACATGATATAAAATATATTGCATTTAATTTAAAAGATAATTTAACACAAACTACTAAAGTTTAGGCGTAATATATGAATATTTGTATACTAATCTGATGTTTTAATACATTTGAAATTCTAGCATACTTAAATCAATATTGGATCAGTTAAAAAAATTTCTATGTACTAACTTACAAGTGCTATTCATTATTCCTAACTCAATTTAGTTAAGGAATCATTTTTAGCATTTGTAACTTTTATATAGAAGAAAATTATTGAGAGGATCAGTTTGCCAACACAACAAAATAAATGCCCAGGTTTAATCTCTAAACAGACAACATAATCCAAGTTTATAAAAAACTACCCACAACATATAGCTTTAGTATCCAACACCAATATGCCAAGGTTTTCTGCACTCTGGAACATCAAATTGCAAAACATGACGGCGATTATAGCGATTCAAAACCAACACCAACAAATCTTGCAAACTAAATAAATGCTATTGCCCTGCAGTTCCAAGACAAGATTCCAGAGTCATCAAACATTGACTGCATCTACTAGTGTGATAGTGTGTTACAAGCCAAGGGGAAGTGAGAAACCTAATTGTTCCATCAAATCAAAATTAAGCTTTGGAGCCCGAAAAATAAATTAAGAATGGAGTAAGTACGTATTGATTTGGCTCCTCCAACCTTCAGATAAAGCAAGGTGCCACCTAAGTAACTTGGTTGGTCTGATACGCATGTCAAATATGTAAGCCCTTCAAAGAAACCTTGAAATACGAAACATGTGTCTTCTACGAGCACCCTTTTATACATTACTGCTAAAAATTCTTAGTAATCTTTAAAATAGATTAGATACTAAATAAGATAAAAGACATGTATAAACTAGCCAAATAAAGAAATAAGAAAAGCAAAAGTTTAGTTAAGTGTATTAACGATGAAAATTAAAAAATAACTTTCTTACATGACAATATTCAACATAAGTGGATGAGATATTTTGATAAATTTTTCAATGAAGATTTTGAAACTACAATCAACTTTAGTAATCTAAATATAGTAGAGAATAATAAAACTTTTTATTTTTATCATCACATTAGTGAAACGGAAGTTGAGAAGGCTTTAAAGAAAATGAAGTGTGAGAAATCAACAAGATCTGGTGGTATTCCAATAAAAGTGTGAAAATGTTAAGAAGATTTGGGAATTTATTGGCTTACTAATTTTTTTAATATTATTTTACAAACTAAAAAGTTGTATAAAGAGTGGAGGAAGAGTAATTTGGTCCCTATTTTAAGAATAAATGGGATGCACAAGAGTGCAAATTATAGAGGAACTAAGTTAATGTGTCATACATTAAAATTATAGGAGTCATTGAACATAGGTTAAGACGCGTTACAAAGATTTCTCAAGATCAATTTGGATTTATGTCGAGCAAGTCTACCATGGAAGTTATACATTTATTGAGAGGTTCGATGGAGAAGTATAGAGAGTAAGGAGGATCTACATATAATTTTTGTTGATTTAGAAAGAACTTATGATAAGGTTCCAAGAGAAGTACTTTAGAAAGTTTTAGGAAAAAAAAGGTGTGTATATGACTTATAGTCAAGTTATTAAAGATATGTCTGCTAGACCTGTTACTTGTGTTTAAACAGAATGAGGATTGACCAAGTATTTTTCAATTTCAGTTGAAATACATCAAGGTTCAGTTTTAAGCCCATATCACTTTCTATAGTTATGGATATTTTTACTGGGTATTTATTGAAGATGTACCTTGGTGTATGTTTTTCGCTGACGGTATCTTTCTTATCGATAAGACCAGAGAAAGAGTTTAGGAAAAACTGAAGTTATGGAGGTCAACTTTAGAGTACGAAGGCTTTTGTCTGAGTAAATCTAAAACTAAATGCATAGAATGTAATTTTAGTAGTAGCATATCAAGTGACGAGGTTGTAACAGTGGGTGATCAAGTCATTAAAAGAATTAAATGTTTTAGATAACTCGGGTCTATTGTTCAAAGTGATGGTGATATAAATGGGGATCTTAATAGTAGAATTCAAGTTTGATGGTTGAAGTGGAGGAATGCATCAAGCATATTGTGTGATAGAAAAGTATCGGTTAGACATAAAGGAAATTTTCATAAGAAGGTGAGGAGAATGCAATGTTTTATAGTGCAGCATGTTGGCCTATAAAAAAGAAGCATAAAACTAAGTTAAGTGTTGTAAAGTTGAGACTGCTTAGGTAGATCAATGGCTTTACACTTAAAGATAAAATGTGAAATGGTTGGTGTAGCTCCAGTGACGGACAATATTAGAGATAGCCGTCTTAGATGGTTCGGTCATATTAATCGCCGACCATCTAATGACCCAGTTAGAAGATTAAATATTTTAGATTTGACTTATGTTAAGATAGGTAGATGTTAGACCCAAAAAAATTTGGGCATGTTGTATAAGAAATGATAGTAATTTATTCAAATTAAGGGAAAATATGATACTCAATAGGACACAATGGAAAAAAAGGATTCATGTAGCCGACCCCACTTAATGGGAAAATTGCTTATTATTGTTTTTGTTGTTGTTGTACTGATTTTCTCAAACAAAATCCACTTTTATTGCCAGAGAAAGAAAATCCATAAATTTGATCCTTTTATGCTAATCAACTTTTTTTCTATCTTTACATGTGAGAAAGATAAGTAAAGCAATCTCTTTTACTGAATTTTCTTTCTATGGTCTGTTTTTCTGAAAGTTCATTGCAAATTATTATTATTACATTTAACAACTATTCCTTTGTTAATGCATATAGATAGTTCATTTTCAGTATGCTCTCTTATAAATTGTCTGAATTGGCGGATAATTTTCATTGTCTTAATCATGCTATGAGTTATTCCGTCAATTGCTATGATTTCTTCATATTAATGAATTTTTTTGGGGCTCCATCAAAAGATTTACAACATTCACATGGCTCTAATTCAAAAAGCAGTGAGAGATTGAGCATATTATTAAAATAATTTCTGATTCCAATATCCATCCAAATGATTGCAATTCCAAATGAAATTGGCAACTGTATACAACTTTGATTCTATTAATCAGCAATAACAAATATAAACACTTAAATAAATACAAGATACCAAAATACAATAAAAAACAGTATATTATAGTATTAAAAGCACTATCCAATTATTCATTAACCAATATGTGTGTGAAAAATAAATGAAACCTGTCCTTTTGTTCCATCTCTGCCTGCTTACGAGCAAGTTCTGCTGCAGTAAATCCAAAGGTATCAAACTTTAGAGATGTCTCCAATGATTGCCCTCCCATATCCTACAGTAGTAAAAGCACAGGAAGAGGAACTCAAAAACAATTTTTTTTTACCACGGAAAACATAAACAGAACAACGCATAATAAACACAAAATAAAAAACATCTAGAAGAAAAGAATATATGTATAAGACAGGTGATAAAACTTGAGAGTATCTAATGCTTGCCCTCTCAAATCCTATGGCAGAAGCGCAGGAAAAAGAGCTCAAACCAAAATTCTTATATCCAGAAAAAAGAAACTGAACCAAGTAAAAGAAACGGGAAAAAAAAATCTAGAAGAACCGATTAAAAGACAAGTGAGGGGCAACCATTTTTAAAGCACTTCTGCATGCATAACATGACTACTACCTTGATATCTTCATCATCAAGAAAGTTATAGATACTTTGTTTATTCACTTCCGCTCTATTTTTTCTTGAAGATGTAAATGTCTGTGGCCTCCACCCTACGAGATTAAAAAAAAAAGATGGGCAACCAAAAATAAATGCCAAACAAATATTAATTTTAACATGAAAATTCCACATGCTAGTTAAAAGTACCATCTTTCGAACCAACAGTATTGTAATAGCCAGCAGAGAAACCCCCCGTAAAGGCTCCATGAAAGCGTCTACGGCCTTCTTCATCTGTCACCTGTATCTCACAAAAAATATAAAATGTATGGTAAAAGTAATGAAGCACAAGAATCAGAATAATATTGAGAAAGAGGACAAACTAAATGGAGAAATAAGTTAATATATATTATTGCACACATAATCTTTCTCGAAGAAATATTAAAGAAGAAAATTTCCTATCAACATGAGAACAGCAAACCATAACCTACTAATAACATAGAAATATGCAAACATGCTTTTTAAAACAAGCAAATTAGCATTTATTTTTTATAGGATAATAAATGAAGAGAAAATAAGACTACAATATTGGTTAAAGATACAAGGAAGCTTACAATAACAACAACAAGCCTTTTTTCTAAGTGGGGTCGGCAACATAAATCCTTTTTCTCCATTGTATCCTATTGAGTGTCATATATTCATTTTTTTTAATAAATTAATATCATATTTTATACAATAAGCCCAAGTCTTTCTAGGTCTACCTCTACCTTTCTTAAAGATGCAAGGAAGCTTAAAGAAAAAAAAAAATAACATGACATATATTGTTACAATTATAGGACAAAATTATTTTAAAAGATAATAATCAATAAAATAAGAAGATATATTAAAAATTAATCAAAAAATTATGAAATGAAGTTTCATAAAATGATGATGCATATAATATAACTTTAGATCCAAACAAGATATTGCAAAGATTTGGAGAGTCATTGGTGATATCATGTTAAAAAATCTTTCCACTAAATAGGAGCATGTCTAATGATTTGAAGAAAGATTTTTGAGAAATATACCGAATACAAAAGAGCTTTTTAAGATTTTACAAGTCATAGAGGACCCAAACTTGTGTCATATAATGAAACTATGGGAGAATAATAAAGTATAAACCTAAAAGATGTGTTGGCTTCAAGATTAAAAAATTGGTTTCATACTACAATGAACAGCTATAAAAGTGACTTTGCATTGAGAGCATTAATGATGGAGTATGTAAAGGAGAGAATATCTCTTTATAATTTTTATTGATTTGAGGATGCTTGTAATCAAGTATTACAAGAATCAATTTGCTATCAAGGTTACTAAAAATATTGTCAAGCCACCAAAGAATTCCTACCATAAGATTACAAATTAATATTAAGCTTGCATTTTCTAGTGATTATGAAGTTGCATGCAAAAGATAATCACAATTATATACATTAGTGCATGCGTTTTACAATTGATAGATTTTAATCAATGAAGCAAGTATTGAATTATGGAAAATTAAAATATTCGACAAAATTTTATAGAAATAAAAGGTTTAAATAAATAGAAATATATATATACGATACACAAATCTAACATTGTTATTGTCAAATCCCAAGCCTCAAATGTGAAAAGTAGATGGTATATTAGGTAGTCAGCAGCCCGCGTAAAAATTTTGTCGAAAAACTGATGTGAATCCTATAAGTATATGATGGAGAAAAATGATTCATGCAGCCGACCACATGTAGTGGGATAAAGGCTTGTTGGCATTGGTGTACATGATACAAAGATCTAGGATGTGTGATATTAATAATTATCAATCTATAACACTAAAAATTAATAAAAGTAAAACAAACGTAAGATAGATTTGGTTATTTTGAATTAATTATACAAACAGAATGAAAATGTAGATAATGATAAATTAAGTCAATATTACTAAAAGATAAAGTGACACAAAAGTGTTATAAGTTTTAGTCTCTTACATTGATTATTAAAAAAAATAGATGTGAGATCAAACACCACTTATCCTATTGCATTTATAAATCTAGTTAACACTGCAGACACTTACCTATATGTGCATTTAAGTCAAACACGACAATTATCATTTCTACTTTAGACAAGTGTTGTGGTAACTAATCCACTTGAATTTTTTTTTTAGACGTTCTTTTTTAGACTCTCACAAGTAAATTAATAAAATTAGTAGATATTATAGTTCATAGAAAGATAAATATATGATATATTTAAGAAACTAAGAGATTAGAGAAAAGAATAAGGAGATTGATAGTTTAGATTTTAAACTTTGATATTCAGGTAAGAGTCGCACTAGAAATGGTATAAGTGTAATTATAAATAAGAGTTTGAAAGATAATGCTGTAAAAATTGATAGCATTGAAGATAGAATTCTAGTCCTAAAGATAGTTTTTGATACTAAAATTTTAATGTTATAAGTGTTTATCCTCTTCAAGTAAGTTTAGATATAGTTTCAAAAGAAAAATTCTATAATGACCTAGAAGAGTTAATACAATTGATACCTCTTGAAGAAAGAATTTTGATTGAAAGAGATTTAAATAGACATGTTGGTAAATTGATTGAAGATTTTAAAAATAATCATGATGACTGCAATTTTGAAGTGATTAATGAAGAATGTAAAACTATATTAAATTTTACATTAGCGTATGATCGTTTCATTACTAGTACTTTATTTAAGAAAAGATATGAGCATATTATTAATTGTAAGAATGGATCTTATAAAACAGAAATTAATTATTTTCTTATGAGAAAAAGATATCATCGAGAATGTAAAAATTGTAAGATCATTCCAAGTGAAAATTTAATTACCAAAGATCAATTATTAGTTCTGGATTTTAAGATATGAGTTGTAAGATAAATAATACAATGAAACATTATCATAAAATTAGATGGGGGCGTCTAAAAGACACAAATAAATCTATTTTTATTAGTAAACTTCATGATTTTAAGATTTGAGAGGTTTATGATAAAACTAATTCTATGTAGGATAAAGTAACAAAAACTATTAAACAAATGACAAAAGATATACTTAGAAAATAAAAATAGTTGGTGGTGGAATAATAATGTGCCAGAAAAGATGAAATATAACAAGTCTTATAAAAATTAATTTAAATAAAAAAACTTAGAAAATTGAGAAAATATAAGGTGGCTCGTGGGGAGTCTAAGAGAACAATTTATGACACTAAAAAATGTTGCTTTTAGTGATCTTTATGATTTATTAGATACTAAAGATGGTGAAAATTATGTGTATAAATTAGTCAAATAAAGAAAAAAAAATTAAAAATTTAATTCAAGTATAGTGTATTAAAGATAAAAATTAAAAGTGTTTTTTTAAAGAAAAAATGAGTGAGCTATTTTGATAAACTTTTCAATTAAGTTTCTAAAAATATAATCGACCTTAATGAAATTAATATTGTTAATAATAATTAAATATTTTATTTTTACCATTACATTAATAAAAAGAAGTTGAAGGAAACTTTAAAGAAAATTAAGGGTGAAAAACCAATAGGACCTGATGATATCAAAATTAAAGTGTGGAGGAAGAGTATTTTTCTCCTCATTTTTAATAATAAAGAGGATGCGCAAGATTGTACAAATTATAGAGGAATTAAGTTGATATATCATACTTTAAATTATTGGAGAGGGAAATTGAACATAGATTTAGACGTGATACAAATATTTAATATAATCAATTTGGATTTATGTCGAGCAGGACTGATATGGAAGCCATACATTTATAGAGAGTTTTGATGGAGCAGTATAAAGAGAGTAAGGAGGATCTACATATGATTTTTATTAATTTAGAAAAAGCTTACAATAAGGTTCCAAGAGAAGTCCTTTGAAGAGTTAAATAGAAAAAAGATGTTGATATGACTTATATTCAGTCATTAAAGATATATATACTATAGTTGTTACTTGTGTTCAAACAGAAGAAATATTGACAAGTATTTTACTATTTTAGTTGGATTACATCAAGGATCTTCTTTAAGCCCATATCTCTTTGCTTTAGTTATGGATTCTCTAACTAGACATTTGCAGAAGGATGTACCTTGGTGTGTCCTTAAGACTAGAGAAAGAGTTCAGAAAAAACTTAAATGATAAAGGTCTACATTGGAGTTTAAAGGTCTTCATTTGAGTAGATCTAAAACTTAATACATTGAATGTAATTTCAAAGTAGTAGCTCTAGTGGCAAAGTTGTAATTATGGGGGATCAAATCATTAAGAGGTGTGAATGTTTTAGATATATTGGGTATATTGTTTAAAGTGATGGTGACATAGATAGGGATGTTATTAGTAAAATTCAAGTTGGTTGAAGTAGAGGAATGCATCGAGCCTAATGTGTGATAGAAAAGTACCGTTTTGAAAGGAAAATTTTATAAGATGGTGGTGCTTTATGGCGCAAAATGTTGGTCTTTAAAAGAGAAGCATAAAATAAAGTGAAATGTTATTGAGATGATAGAGTTGGTGTAGCTCCAGTGGCAGACAAGTTTAGAGAGGGTCGTCATAGATAGTTTGGACAAATTAAACGTCGACTATTTCATGATTTGGTTAGGAGAGCAGATATTTTAGATTAGATTTATATTAAGAAAGGCAGAGGCAAACCTAAAAAGACCTCGGACCTATTAGAATTAAATAAAAATTTGACACTCAATGCGACACAACGGAGAAAAAGAATTCATGTAGCCGGCCCCACTTGGTGGGATAAAGGTTTGTTATTGTTGTTTGTTGTTGTTGGACATTCTTTTGATCTAACCTTAAGAGCATGCTATCAAACACAAACCATATTTAGGGTTTATTTGGGGCAGCTGCAGCTGTTTGAAGAAGCAGCTATAAAAATTCTGCAGAATAAACTGTTGTTTAAAAAGTTGTAGTGACTATTATAAATTTAATTTAATTTCAGAAAGTTAAACTGTAGTTTTCTGGAAACCATCACACTTTAACAGATTAGGTTGAAAAAAACAATCTTCTACCACAAAAATTTCTAAAAGGAAGCAAGAAAGCAGTTTCACAAACATAACTGTGATAGCGGTCTGAAAAAGCAAAGTTGCCAAAAAGCTATCCCAAAGAAACCCTTAAAGTACTTACCAAAAATTAACTTAATATCAAGCACCATAAATCACCATATGAATAAGATAATCATATCTGCGCCAAATTCATCTTATATTTCTAATCAATTGTCAAAAAAGATGTTTAACCTCAATCATGAACATTAAATAGGGAAACGAGAAGATTAAGCCTATAGCTCCAATTGCACCAAATGAATGAACGAGCAGCAAGGTCCATTAGCATGCTTGCTTTGGTGGCAGACTGGCTGCTCGATTTATCACCAGTTGATGAATCTTCCGGTTTTTTAATATGGAAATCCTTGCAAACTCTTATTGATTGTATTCACTATGAGTTTGGTTGGATTTGTAAGAATATCATGCAAGGCGCTCAGTGCCCGTATCCAATTAACAGCCTCTAAAAGGTATAAAGACTTCAAGGTAACGAAGAACTGGGCAATCGATGAAGGAGGAAACCGCACCTCTTGTTTCCACGCAGGAAGGCTTCTGAGGTTGCCCGCACCAGCAATTGCCCTCCTCTTGCGAACCGAGGTGTCCTCCTCCCGCTCGATTGGCGTCCCGTAAAAGACAAAATCCTCGTTGTCAGATTCCATTGATCACTGGAATCCGATATTGGAGTAGAAATCCTAGAGACTGTTTGGTAGCAGAATCGGAGTAGAGTACAAGCAGGATTTAACCAAAACCCTGCGAAACAGCAAAAATGGCAACTTAAAACCTACAGAATCTTAAGTCCCGTTCCTCTTCCGTTTTGCCTAAAATCCTGGATTCAGTAAATACTGGCATCCGGCGGATTAATTTAGATTCGCGGATCTAACGAGCTCCTAATCTTCACACGCCTGTTGTCCCGTCAATGCCCCTTCCTGCTAGCTTTGATCGCGGCATCATCGAGGGTTTTAGGAGCCGAGAACCGGAATTCAGGTAGTTATTAATAATAATACTTGACAAATTATTTAAATGCTGGAATCTTCTGAAAGATGGGAGCATATGGATTGATTCGGATCAATATGGAATTATTAGCTCACGCTCATTCTAGATTCTCTCCATGGTTGGTTTAGAGTAGGAATAAGACAAATCATTTATGCAGCTTCAACCTCTCTCGGTCAACGCAATTGAAAAAAATGTATTGCCTATTCTTCCGTATCTCACATGGGTTTCCTAATGAGAATTCTAGGAATTGGTTAGATAACTGGCATGGGACTCAATGGAGCCATTTTACAAAGACTCTCTCATGGATTGATTGGTTTTTTTCTTAGCAGGAACGAGTTGTGATAGAAGACTTTTTGTTTCTCTCGAAGAGATGGGGGATATCTATCCCAATGCCAAAAATCTTTACCATGTTGAGTAGTTTCTCGATGGCTTCTCTTGCATTGCCGGGAATGAGTGGTTTTGTTGCAGAATTCTTAGTCTTTTTTGGAAGAATTACCAGCCTAAAATCTCTTTTCATGCCAAAAATGTTCATGACTTTTTGAATGGCAATTGGAATGATATTCACTCCTCTTTTTTTCTTATCTCTGTTACGTCAGATTTTCTATGGATACAAGCTATTCAATATTCAAAACTCGAATTTTTTTTTCTTCTGGGCCACGAGAACTCTTTGTCTCGATCTGTATCTTTCTACCTGTAATAGGAATTGGTCTTTATCCTGATTTCGTTCTCCCGTTATCGGTTGACAAGGTACAAGTTCTCTTATCTCATTCTTTTTCAAGATTCAATAAGAAAGAATTTTCATGAATTGGAAAGTCTGAGAATTCTTTGACTTTCAGATTTTCACGATTCTTCGTTGTACAATGAAAAAAAAATAAGGCGCTAGTTTCGCTTCCTTGAGTGATCGAAGTGCTTCCAGGGCGTGTGTCACGAACACTTGAAAGTCGATTTCTTTCTTCAATCCTCCTCCAGTCAATAATCAGTTTCGGGGAGTTCAGTTCGTGTGTCACGAGCAAAGGAGGTTCTGCGCTTTCCTTCTTAGTCTTTGACAAATTCCCCTGCCCCTAGTCTTGCATTTCTAAGGGAGAGTATTAGAATCTATCAAATCCTGCATTTCTGAGCTTCAAGTGTGGAGGACCATTCCCGATGGTTTATTGTCTGACTGAAGTGGTAGTGGGATTCTTCCTTGGCCAATTGCCTTTCTCATGTAAGCGGAAAGTGCCTTTTCCGGGTCAAGTCCCATTTCCGATCATGCGGTAAGTTTCCCCGCTTGTTGAGTGAGTTCAGTCTACCAGGTACACATCGCGATGTAAAGACTCTTGCTTGGCGATTTCCATTCTTTCCTTCTATAAGCCCGTAATCTCTTCGTCTCTTTGGAAGTCTTGTCAGTAGTGTAAGGTTCAATGCTTTGCAAGTTTCTTGACAGTCAGTGAAAGAAAGTTTTTTCTCTTTGCATCCTAGCGCCTTCGCTTGGGAGTGCCCCCGCTAAGCCTAAGCCCTTTTATTTTATGTGCTTTGAATTGAGTCCGTCCTATAAGTCTAACTAGCGCCTTTGATATGGTAATTCCTAGCTGACAGAGGAGGAGTAGTCTAAGTCTAAGATAAGTTTGAAGGCAGGCTAGAAACTAGACTTTTCAAATCCCTTTTTCTAAGTAGTTTCTAGACTTTCATCCAGTCCAGCCAGTGAGAGAAAGAGTACATCTGCTACTTGAAGCGAGTAGGACTTCCCTTTTGAAGATTCGTTACCTCGAGTTTGAGGGCTGGCTATCTAAGAAAAACCTAGCTTCTTATGACTTCGAGGGAGTTTGCTTCTAGGCGAGTTTTGTCAGATTTTGAGTCCTTCACCATTTAGGCCTTCTTCAAGCGATCGATTTCTTTACATGGTAGTTTTTTTTTTCCGAAAGTCTATAGCTCCATTCCTCACTATTCTCAAACTCTGAAAGTCTAGTAAGACGAAGTCAGACTAACTCCATGACAAGTTCAAACCAGTCAAGGTGCGACTTTTGGGAGCAACCTGTGAGAAAACCAGTCAAAAGTACCTCTTAGCCAGGAGGCTCAATCTTCTCTTTCTCTTTCAGAAGCTGTGCCCGGGGAGGAAACGCGGTAAGTAAGGCATCAAGCGAGAAAAAGCCCAAAAAGTCTTGTCCGGGTCGTGAAACTCGAATTGAATAGCAAGCCGGAAAAGAAATAAAGGAGCTTTGAACGAACCCTAGAATCTTTGGAGAGAGTGGCCTAAGTCCTCGTCAATTTTATTGAAGCCGGTACAGTTCCCTCTTTTTTGCTCTAGCCGGTAAGCAATTAACCAACCGGTAAGCCGTTAAGGTCACTAAGATCATGTGTTCATGTGCGATCTCTACGAGCCCTTACTCTATGGAATGGGGCAGTCCTCTTAGGCGGAGCTGGGCCAGTAGCGTGCACGTGTGCTGAAACACTGGAGTGAAGTGAAACCTATGGGGCCTTAGATGCTGAAAAACTACAAGGTGCGACTGACAGGAGCATTTGATGCAGGAGTTTATTGTAGTGGTCCAGTCAAGCCTATATCGCTTGTTTTTAGCCTTCATGGTGAATGGCCCACCCTTTCTTTGAACCTTGTCAATGATCGAACTTCAAGATATGAACTGAGTGCCATTTGATGAGTAAGATCGAACAAGGGAGAGGGATATGGAAAGGATGAAGTAATGAAAGAGGAAGTCATTGCTAGTAGTAACGACTTGTCACGATCCATTGGTTCATAGAGAATCCATGTCCTAGGTCTATCAAAAAACATTCTTTTCGCTAAGCGTATATAATAAAATAGAGTGAAAGGGTCCACCCCCGAAACGGGTACTAACTAACAGCTGAGTCCTCTCCGAACCGCAGGAGATAGTTGCCCATCATACGGCTCACCAACTGAACTTGCCTCTAAGAGGGGCTCGCTCCGGGCAGGTTCGGATCACTTACAATACACGGCTCTACGAAGGGGTTAGGAGCGTTTTCAAGATGATTATTTCTTTGTCGAGACGGAACCCAGACTGGAAAATGTGAGTCTGTTTTGTCCACTTTATCCATCCCCCTCTAGAAAAATGATCAAGGCAAGCTTGCTTCTTATTCCCGTGTTTTCTCTTTTCCATCTCTGCCCCGCTTCCATGTGGCCAGAGACCCCTGTAGAGAATGAAGAGGGGCCAAGGATCTTCCTCTCCGGAGTACTTCTCGAGGCTCCACTCTCTCCCCTGAATAAGTCAGGCTCCGTTAGCCTGGGCTGAGATGGGGATAAGGAGTCAGGATTGAAGCCCCCAACGTTCTGCTGGATAGGGGTCAATGTGTAGAGCCAAGTGTAGTGTGGTGTAGTATTAGGCACTTCTAGGCCCCTTCCCGGCCACTGGATCACTCCAGTGCTTCGGGTACTACGGACCCTCTGCCATCCATTGCAGCAGAGCCGTTTCATGAGCGGGGGGGCTCAGCGCAGTTCTTTGAATCAAACGTGGAATGATTTGTTTTGAGATATCTGGATAGATGGATGGATCTATCTTTCGATGAATATAGATTCAGCAAGAAGCCCAAAATCCTTGATTTGGCCAGGAAACAAAGCACTGCTTTGGGCCCAGGAAGCGAAGGGAATGAGCTCGGTCTCCTCTCCTTTCAGTCGAGTGGCCTAATGGCTCCTCCACACTTCTGTTCTGGATTTTTGTCTCCGTGCCCGTTCCGCATGCGCTTCGCGCGCCATTGGCGCTTTGCTCTCCTCTTATTTCTTCATTGGACGGTTCGGATGGACTTCGCCGTTCTTTCCCAACGAAAATGGAAAGGGCTGTATCACATCGAGATGTCGATTCGTTTTCCGCCCCAAATGAGATGGGGAATCGCTTCGCGCCTCTGTCCCTTCATCTTTCGCCCGGCTCGCGTCGTTCCAACAACCGACGGGGAGCACCTCAGTCTACGATCGCGCGCAGTAACTGGGAGTCCTATTACACCTAAGGCCAACTTCAATTCACCAAACCTAGGTTCATCTCGTGTAGTGATTGTGGACTCGTACAAGGATATGGAGTCGACGGTTGATGTATCAGACTCGACCCTGTCTTTCGTAGCATGCATTCCCATCCGTGTCGCAACTGATTCGGTAAGCTACGTGTCCGGACGGAAAACTGCCTTCGGTCTCCCAACCTTACTCATGGCAACCTTCCGGCCGCCCAACGACCTATAACGCTAGTCACTACTCCCACTGGGGCTAGGAAGTAAATATATATGTATGTATTATGATATAAATTTAAAATAGAATAGTTAAACTATGCATATTGGTAAAGCCTAGTCCCTCCACCTTAGGCTAATTAAAATCCATCTTTATAGTTTTCACCATTTTATAATTATTCTATGTTAGTTTTAGTGTATGATATATTTTAGTTTTATTTGATCATAATCCCTATTTTGAAATTTTGAATAGAGATAAATTAACGCAATTTTAATAATTAGTGTCACAGTCTCTATGGGTCAATAATCTTATTCACTACTTTAATATTTGTATGAACTCATATTATTACATGTGCATTTATCATTGCATCAATATCATTAATATCATCACACTTAATTAAAATGTATTTTATCTCAATTCTATAATAGTACATAAAAAGGTAATTACTTTTTGGTGGAAAATACATCAATAATTCAATTATAGATACTTTTTTTTTGTGGATTTCTATTCATAAAAAATCTCCGATAATAAATTTTAACTAGTAAATAATAAATCAAAAGTGTTATTCCCTAATAATTCTGGAAAAGAAAAATTATAATTTATTAAGAAAATGTTAAAGGTCATTCTAAAAGGCTGATTTAAAAGTTTTGGTGAATGCCTAATATTACTAGTAGATAATATATCAAATATATCAATAGATTATCTTCCAACAAAGCTAAGTTTACTCTTTCTTTGATGGCATTTATCAACTATTATCGATA